CACCGTTCAAAAGAGCGCCATCTACGTTTGTAGGTGGAGAGCTAAATACGACACCCTGATAAAATACCCCAACTTTTTATTCCTTGAAAATTTTCGCAGTTTAACGGAATATATGTATTATTTAGGTAATTTCCTCCACAAAAATCATCACTTCACTGGTTAAAATGCTCTTAAAGACGAGTTTTTCTTGATTATCTGATATCTACTCCCAAGTGTTCATTCAAGCGTAACGCGGGCGGCAGCCAACACCCCCAACATATTTTGACGATATTGCACCCTCCGAAGTCGTGAAGGTAAGCCAAAATATAGCTGACATTAAAACTTTTCCTACATTGAGCAGCAAACTATATAACAAGGCAGCACATTCTGAAAATCTGGGGGAACTTTCAATTGAAATTTTCAACTAAAAAGACATTGACCTGTTGCTCCAATTCAAGTTTTGGATTTTAGACTCAGTTTCTATTTAAATCGTTTGACTCATGGTTGATTTCAAGTTCTGAATCCAAAACCATGCTCCATAAATACCAACCATTTAGCATCTTTTACTTGGTCTTGCTTGAAAGTTGCATCTGCAGGTATTTTTCGTAAATTTTAGAACATGTGGTACATTGTGGGCATGTTCGAGCGACGACTATAGTTGAGTATAGATAGACTAACAGCGCTCGAATGCTGTATGGTCATCAGATATGTCTCGTCGACCATTTGGGACCAGGCTCAGGGGTTATGGTCGCACTGCTGGTTACCAATAACATATTTCATTTATCATTACAGGGGGAACCATTCACATGAAAATAATTGTACGAGATTTCAGTGACCTTGTACGCTACGAGAATCGCAGCTTACGCTGAAATTTGAGTAACAACGAGATAAAAGAGACTGGGGTCGTTCATGGGTCATTCGAGTGTAACTTAAATGTGCATTGTTAAAAGCCACCGACTACTAGCCTAACTATAGTTTGTGCTTGAACTTGCCTGTATTCGCCATTTTATTGCTTTTAGAAAGAACGCTATATCCTAACACTAATTTCTTGTTCCTTTAAAATTATCTACACTACTCAACATGTACCAAAATTTTCACACAGAATTGAAAATATTGTTCAATTTTTGCCTATGAACAAGTTGCAATAATTAACTTTCAAGAGGTACCAAAAAAATAATGTGTCAGAAGGCAGTGTTTTACCCAAACTGAATACAAAATGTGACAAAAATCAGACAAGCAAATAAAAGCAGTGAACGTCAACAAGATCCCTTTCACTTATTTTATTTTGAACTGATATTGATCAAATTTTAAAAGTAATAGTGGCTATAAGTGTCAAGTCATTCAAACGTAACAGGTTGCATGGATTGCGGATTTTCAACATCAGCTAACCAAGGTATCGGATAATTGGAAGTTGACAAACTAATCCCCTCAGCAAATCCGAGAGAACTTGTTTGTCAACATCTGATACTGAGGGATGCAAAACTTATGAGGAACTTATGCAAAAGATGCAATGATGTAATTACCGTACCTCATATGTAATAAAAGGCATAGTTAAGCTTAGGAAAATGCTAACGAACATTAATAAACTGCCATTTTTCCGTACATAGCTGCAGCGATACTGGTGCATGCAAAATCATGTTTGGTGCACTTCACTAGCATATTTGACTCATTCATGGCTTTTTGTCTGCATTGTGAATGGACAAATGCAAAATCAGCTCTCTAACATCAATTTGCATAAAATTTGGGTGATCTTATCTGTCCAGGAAATAAATCTTTGCCCAAATTTGAAAAAAGGCAAGTTTCAGCTAGTCAGTATTAAAACAAATTTACCAAAACCAACGTTTTGAACTGAAATTTTGGTTTTACGTTTAATAATGAGAAAACTGTTCTCTTCTTTTCCATTTCAAATGAGTTCAAGTCCTTTGCTGTTGGTGA